GGACAAAGCACTCCAGGTGTGACCTCTCCAGGGCTGAGTAGAGGGGCAGGATCACCCTCCTTGACCTGCTGGCAATGCTCTTCCAAATGGACCCCAGGATACCATTGGCCTTTTTGGCCAAAAGGGCACTGCTGGCTCATGGACAGCTTGTTGTCCACCAGGACCCCCTTCTCCACAGTGCTGCTCTCCAGCAGATCAGCCCCCAGCCTATACTGGTACCTGGGATTATTCCTCCCCAGGTGCAGGACCCTGCCTTTGCCTTTATTGAATTTCAGACAATTCTCTGCCCATCTCTCCAACGTGCTGAGGTCCCTCTGAAGGTCTGCACAGCCCTCTGGGGTTTCGGATGCTCCTCCCAGCTTTGTGTCGTCAGTGAAATTGCTGAGGAGGCATCTGCCCCTTCATCAAAGTCATTGACGAATAAGTTAAATAATATTGGGCCTAGTACTGAAACTTGGGGGACACCACTAGTGACAGGCTTCTAAGTAGACCCTGTGCCACTGATTACAATTCTCTAGGATCTGCCATTCAGCCAGCATGCCATCCATCTCACTGTCCGCTCATCCAGTCCACACTTCCTGAGTTTGCCTTTGAGAATATTGTGAGAGACAGTGTTCAAAGCCCTGCTGGACTCAAGGATATTAATTTACATATTTTCTTTGGTAAGTTCTTTGCTTGAGAACTTGGTTTAACTAATTTTAATGATGAATTTTTAAATCTCTTAAATGAAAAAGGTTAGAATGGAAACTTAGAAGCTTCACTGTGAATCACAGTTATGATATATTATATATGTGCTGTTGCAAGAAAGTGATACTTGCTTGATTCCTAAATAATTTGCTTGTCCCAAGCTGACGTTGCAGCTGCTTACTGTGATTGCTGAATCATAACTGACTTTTTGTTACAGTCCTTTGTGCTACAGAGGTGATTGCTAAAGTGCCAGCGGTGCTCTCTGAACAGCCACACCTATCCATTTGCACTCCGGTCACGACAAAACATAGCCATTACTTAACTGATTCTCCTTGGTTCTTTAACCTGCCTGCAAACTGAATATAAAACGTTCATGGACCATTCTAAGAAACTCCAAAATACTGTTCGCAGCTGGAAAAAATCAGACCACACTAGCCACAGTATTAAAGGAAGCTCTGTCAAAAATGCAAATATGGTCAGAGCACCAGATGGTGTAGCTACAGTGATTTTTCTTTGAAGATCCCTTTTGAATCCACACAAAAAGGCTGAACAAATGGTTCAGGTAGGAGTCTGAAACCACTTTTATCCGTTGAATTCCTGAACCCAAACTCATGCAAGTTCCAATTTAGTGACACTGTGTAATGACAGAAATGTCGTCGTGCTTGTGCCTGTTAAGTCAGAGGACCACTGTGTTCTGGGATCCCATGTCCTGGCATGCAGGGAGGAATTCAACTTAAGGTTAAGATTCACTATGCTGCTGGGCTAGCATCCAGCTTGAAATTCAGTGGGATTGCCCTTCCCTTCAGAAAGGCCTAATGTGCTAATGTTCTGTAATTAATGCTAAAATGCTGTGCAAAAAAATCTGCAAAAAATTTCTGTGGATATATTTTGAAACTGAGTTCATCTCTGCATATCCTACAGAAGAGTGAGATTTTATTGATGTATTTCTTATGGTCTTTAGAAAACCACAAATAGCAAAAAAACAACCAAAAAGCAAATAGGAAACTAAAGAAAACAAATAATAAACTGAGATACACCTAAAAGAAAATGCAAATAATATTCTGAAGCCTAATTTCATAGTTAACTAGCTAAGAGAAAATAGCTTAGTTAGAATTGTTAAAAGGGAAGCAATAGTTAGAAATACCACAAAGCAACTAAAATAATCCAGTACAACAATTCACAAGTTTTTAGGACTTGCATAGGACTTTGAAACTTGGAGGATTTGCTTTCTAAACATGCCTTTCCTAAAACAAACAGGCAAAATTAGTTATTAGTCACTGCAGTTTTGTGCAGAGGTTTGAAATGAATGAATAATTATGTGGTGCTTCCAGGTTATAAAGTGGAATCGATTTTGACATCTGTGTGTCTATTTATATTTCTTTATTTGCAATTGCATGTAAATGGAACATTGACTGCTTTTGGCAAGCAACAACATCCTAAGATATCTCCAGAAAAAATATTCATATTTTTTTCTGCATTTGATTGTCAGAATCTGTTTTATAAATCTGCTATGCATGTTTACAGCTTGCTTTACTTTTGCTCTGCACCACCGAACAACTTCACTAACAGAGTGTTTCATATGTGTACGCTTTTCAATTTATGGGGGGTGTGGCAGCAACAAATATGGATAACCTTTGCAGATCTTGAACAATAGATAAGAAGGACATAGAAAAAAGATGTCATGATACATAGTGTGAGGTACACTAATGGCTATTTAGTGATGGGGAGGCAGAACAAAGGTTTTGACAGCTCTCTCATAAAGCATATGTGATCCTCACGCCAGGCCACAGTTCGCTAAAAAGATATCTAGGTTAGTCAAGTGTTACATAGCTAGCTGAAACTGTGTGTTGAAACTTGCTGCTAAAAGACAAAGACAGGTGAAATCCCAAGGGAAGGTAAAATGCTCACTTTAAGGATTATTTGTTAAGGGCAAACATAAGCTGAAACAGCTTGAAAGGAAACCCATGGCATGATTTCAGCTATGTCTGAATTTGTGTCGAAGCTCTGTTCTCTTCCTAATTCCAGTCTCCATATCCCTCGTGCTGGTGTTGTAGGATAGGATGGGAAAATCTGTGCATATTTAATGCAGAAGCTGCACAAGGGGAAATTCTCCCTTGATTAAAGAAGGGCATTTGCAATCATTGATACAATCACAATCGGGCTTTCTAGGGCTCATTCCTTTGTGAACTGTATCTCCTGCATGCTCTTTTAAACAGCATGGAAAAGGATTAGCAAAAACCTTTGTGGAAACTATTTAGTAGTGAAAAGTACTGCTTTTGGCAGTGGGGATAATACTTCCAGATATTCTTGAGTGTGTTACTCATTATATATTTGAACTACAGGGAAGTTTTAGATAAAATACTCATAAGGTGTAGACAGCTGAAATATCCAGGCCGCTCCTGTGCATATTTCCCTAATATTATTTTGGCTAACAGCTCCATTTGGGGCATTTTATTTAGAACACAAATGGTATTTATCAAAGGGATTGACACACTGAAGATTAATCTGTCCTTGATTTTCTTTTGCTGCTTTGGATAAGAGAAAGAGAATATTTTTAGGTTTAAAACTACACACAATCTGATGGTCAGGGACAAAAGTCTCTACCTTGTCTTCTTATTGAGACAGCCTCAAACATGAAAACGTACAGATGCTCTTGTTCCCTAGGTAGCCTCAATACAAGGTGAAGAATATTGTACTGGAAAGAAGCTGTGAATCTGAGAATTCAAAGTTTCTTTTAGTGATAAATTTACATAAATTTACTGAAGCATCATGTTTTGGACTGCCACGAGACAGAAAAAACTACCCATTATTTGAATGGGAAGGGTAAGACCCACCACTAGATCTTCCCCCACAAGATAGAGGGTGGTCGGTCTGCCTGGGCAGAGATATAATTTTTATAACCGGGAATGTTTTTCAGTAATATTTCATGTGTGATTTATTGAAATCAAACTAAAATAAATAGTACAGGGAGGCTGCAAACTGTGGCTACCCGATGGTTCTAAGCACTCACAGTGCCACTATGAAAGGCACTTAAGTGCTGAACCACACAAGATGCTAGTAGTCCAAATAGAAATTATTGCATTTTGTTCCTACAGGTAATGCATGAGACAGCATATTTTCTAATGAGATACTATGTGCTGTAATAAAAAGCCCCAGAGAATGAGGTTTGAATTTCTTATTTTGAGCTGTGTGTGATTTTTGCAGGGGATACCATAAATAAAGCAGTTTAATTCAGGTAGTCCAAAAATCTGGATGGTGGAACTCTGATAGTACACAGAGCTATACTGAGGGAAGATACTAATCTCACAATTTAGTAAATACAGTTTTTATCCCCACCACTAATCTCATTACTCAATTGTGTGATGCTCTTTTAAGGCAAATCCTTCTTTCTGTCTAGCCAGCTGTCAGGTAAGCAACACAGGTGGCCTCCTTTTTCTGCTGCAGTTAGTACAGCAAGCCTTGTCCTGTGGTGCTGAAATCATGGATATCTCCCCCTTAAAGCAAGAAATTCATTCTTTTATTCATACCACATTTTCATTGTTAAGAAAAAATATGATTCATAAAATATTACCCTATGGCAATATGCAGACTTTAATATTAATGCCATTTTATTAAAAAAAATTCCTCTAAAACAGAAAAGATTAAACTCAAGCATGAAAAAATATGAGTATCTGCCTGGAAGCTACATCTGTGGCCTTCATCTCCCATCTTTTGACATCCCGTGAACATCTCCATAAAGTTACAGAACATTTTCTCTTGAGCAAAAAGTCCCTCATGGATATGGATGTGTTCAGTAGTCTTTGAGAAATGTCTAGAGGTCTTGTAATTTCTCACTCTCACAGCTCCAAGCTGGCTGTATTCCACAATCAAGTTTTACACAATAATCAAACAGTCACTCAAATCATTGTTACTCAGTCCTTTTGCCTCAGAAAACATCCCTTCCATGAGATTCAGCCTGTTCTGCTGACTGATAAGAAAATGTGCATTCAAATTGGTCCTGCTTATAAAAACTATGACTGACAACACTGTGCAGTCTGAGAACTGCAAGCCTTAGGTTATTCCTAGGTTCTTTTGAATCAGCATGAAACGTCCTTCTGTGCTGAGACGTCCAACCCTATAATTTTAAGCTTCTATTTTATTCCTGGCAATCTTATCTCTGAAAGGCAGAATAACTGCAGTAATTGCACATCTCATTTCAGAAAAATAAAGAAACATTCATTTTCCATTGTAATGGTTTACTGGAAACTGCTTCACAGGAAATGAAGAGACTGATGATGAATGAAATTGAAAACCAGCAACACCCAATTACTCACCCGTGCTAGGCTGGTTCCAGAAGGGACTTTATATGGGACATACTTCCTGTAGATATGTCCAACTCGAGAGCATGGAACATCATACATGCCACCTCCACACATCCACACCTGAAAAGGAGACAGAAAGCAAGTGAAAGAATGATTCCTGGAAAAAAATGAGGCAAAAAAAGGCATTTTAAGTAATGTGTATGTGAAAATGACACATCATTCTGTACTGATCCCTCCCACAGTCATGGTGGTCTTCTTGGCATGCTGGTAGGTGGGATGTGGTAACATGGCAGACTGTCCTAACCTGAATCTCACTGTAAAAAGCAGAGTATGTTCAAAATAAAATTATAAAACATACTTGGATTAGAATAGAATGGTTTGGGTTGGGTTGGAATGGTCTTTAAAGATCATCTAGTTCCAACCCAATCCAGTATCTAACAATGGTCCTCCTGCAACACAATCAAGGCATTATTGTGTCTGTTGTTTAAAACCTACGAGATCAAAATTTTAAAAGAAGGCTATGTGATTAAAGCAAACCATCAATCAGAAGAAATATTTTTTTTCTGAAACACATAGCTTATATTTTGAGTAGTGAGTACAGAGCTCAAATATTAAGATGCTCTTCATTATGTGAAGATGCTTTTCATTTTGTAAAGAAAAGGGAACAAAAATCAATTTCCTTCTGATCTAATTTATGCAGGCAGAGAAAGAACATGCTACTACGTTTCATCATTAACACTTTAAACCCGAAAGAGACAGAACTATATGGAGTACACAGGTCTGATGCTTCAGGTCTGAGCAACCAAAGCTCAGTCAAAACTGGTGGGAGCTGTAAGCAAGTACTTCGCAGTCCTAAAAATCAAGCTGTATCCTGATGGGCAACAAGTAGTGAATTTTTCACGATTCTTCACCTAGGATGCCTAGGCTTTATCAAGAGTATGTGAGAGCAAGGTCATGTGCCATGTCAGAAGAACTATGGCAATCATGCCAACCAATGGACATGATTTTCTATGCTCCAGCAATGGAGAGCTCTAACATGGCTATTAGATGACTTATGTAGCACCCTAACAACATTCATAACTTTATAAAGAAAATCAATTTGACTTTGCAAATCAGGGAAATGTAAAACAATAACCCCCCAAGCAGAACCTTTTAAGCATCCTAAAACCACACAACAAGAATTTGAAATTAATTCAGAATGAAAACATCAGTATCATAAAAATTGCTTCCTAATCCTGGATAACTAATTTTTTTCCCCTCACAAATTCAGAACAGAATGACTGTTATTCCACGTAAGAGACACTTGGTCTCAGCTTTCAGCCTGTCGACTGAAAACAAAAAATATCTCAATCCCCTCCCACCCAATTAAAACAATAATCAAACCAAAGCTGAGAAAGAGAGAGGGCTTTTCCTTTCTATATCTCTTCATGTGGACATACATAAAGATGCTTCACTAAACATCTCCATGAATTTGGAAGAGAATTTAGGTCCGTGCACTACATATATGAGGGAATTTTAGCTGTATTTGATGCACTCCAGAGCAAAATGACGTGAAATAACTTTGTGACTGAGACCAAAGCAGAGCAGAACAGGAGCAACTGAAAGCAACTGAAAGTTTCACCAACATGTTTCATACAGAAAAGAATTAAATCATAAGTTAACATGCTCTGAATTGAAACAATAGTAACCAGACCCTTAAAAAAAGGTACTGGAAAACATGACGCAATCACATATACTTGACATTCTGCATGAAGCCTGCAGAGAACAATGTGCATCTCTGCACTTTTTTTACATTTCATATTCCATCTCTTTTGTCCTGCCCACCAGCTGGCTGTAGCTACTGGCTTTTTGAAATCATGGGAAAACAAAATTATTAATTCCATTCATTTAAAACATTAGTGAAAATGGGCAAGAGTTTGGCCTCTTTCACTGCGCTTGCCTGATTGTGTTACAGTGGGTATAATATCTGCTTGCTCCTGGAATTCAGCCTCTCAGACTGACTGTGCTATTCATACTGTGAATGGAGAAAAATGGGTTAGAGTGAAGACTTGAGTTGCAAAGTGATTTAGGTAGCTGCTTCTTATGGCTCATTTGTGTATTAGCCCTTAGCTGTTAGCCATGGCATCCAGCTGAGACCTGGTAAAGAAATGCTTTAGGATCTAACAAACCTAAATACACTAGTGTAAATGTTGAAGGAAGGCTTGAAACCAGCAAAAGTGGGGCTTTGTCCTTAAGTTCCATGGACACCCATGTGCAGTCAGGTAGGAGCTGCTGCTTACTACTTCCCATCACAGAATTAACTAAGGCATAGGAGCTCTGGGTAGGTGCTTCTGGTACATGGTAGCATCTCAGCTGAGGAGACAAATTTTGCATGTTAGTAGTATGGCATAGCAAAGACAGCTGTCCTGGGTATCACTCTGCCAAACGGAAGCCTGTACGCTGATGAAATGAAGTACCTATTTTGGTACCTATTTTTGCGTTAAGGACATGTCATCTCGTCTCCTAGTGAGCACAGTCCTCAGGGAGGAGATTTATTGGTGGGAATGGAGACCCAAATGAATGCTCTGCCTCCATGCCAAAATAGCTCATTAGTATCTAGAGCAATCTTGCATGTAGTCAAGGCATGTGGACATGAAGATCATTTGTTTTAAAATAAATAAATCTTGAAATCTTCACCTGTTTCATCTCATGTCAGCTAATTCACTGGAAAACATGTGCATAAACATAGTAAAATATCACAAAAATTACAGTGCTAAAATAATGTTCACCTTTCTAACAATACTTCATTTGTATGTTACATCACTTGTACCTTTTTTAGTGGGAACCTCCTCTCTTCAAACAGTCCACTGCACCAACGAAAGTACAGACCTATACTTAGGATTTGTTCTTGTTTTTTAAATGAAGGTGTCATTTCAAAGGCTAGACAAGTTATTACAGTGATTAATCAAGGCTTCTTAGCCTTTATAAAGTGGGCAGCATAGCAGTTTGACTCAAAGGTCAACGCCTGAATAAATTTAAAGACAAGAAAGCAGAAAAAAAAATATATATACAGGCAAGTATTACTTTAACTGAGGCAATGAGAGCTGAAGCAGACATATACTACATTTCCTCTAAAGCAGTAGCATAGCAGTTAAAAAAAAGAAGAAAAGAAATTAAAAAAAACAAACCCAAAAGTCAGATATGCTGAGGCAATAACGAGTGGGAGGAAATAACACAGTGTTAGGCTTATATTTGATAGACATAAAACCTGAAAATGTTGTGCTGCACCTGAGGTATGCTGTGCAGGGTAATTGAAATGAATCTTGGGTTGCCTTGGAGGACATTTAGCAGCTGTTCCTGTTTATCTTTCAGCTTCAGAGTGATATTAAAAGCATTTTTTATATTTTCCTGGGAAGATCAATTCTGGCAACTTCGCCTTTAAAATGTGCATTTTTATGTCACATGTGCTAAATGCAAGAAATTGGAGAATGACTTCTGTGTTAAATATTACAGACCTCCAGTGTACCATGCAAGGAATTCAGGTGGTGTGGGACATTTGGCAAAATGATATCAGAAGCAATGAAATTCTCAGGATCGCAAATGTCTCCTTCTTATAAAAGCAATGAATCTGGTCTGCAGCTGACATAAAAATTGAAGATGAAACCAAAATAATGCAATTCCAGCTTGGAAAGATCAAAAGAAGAATAGTTTATGTGTCAACTAAATACTATCTCACAATTTATCTTTATATAGCTCCTTCCAACAGAATGTTGCAAAACACTTTATAGGGATGGTTGAAAGCAAAAGACAGGCATTAACACAAGCTTTAAAAGAAATTAAGCTGTGGTTATGTGGCTTTGTTCCTGACTGGAGCTCAGATGTCACAGATGCATTTTTTGGATCTGTTCTACAGCTCCTGTGGGATTTTGGGTGAATCACCCTCTTTTCACATCACTTTTAAAGACATCTTTGTCTTTAAAATTGAATTCTGCCTTCTCTTGTGGTTTCCCCTCCTGCTGCCTTATCTCTCTGGTTTATGAGTGATCCAGCCAGGAGACTATCTGGAAAATGTAAATACTGTGCATACAAGACTGAGACTCCAATCCATATCATACACTGTAATCATAATTACTGTAGCAAGAGACTCATGATTTTTGAGCAGTGAAGGATGTGTCGCTGCGGGACAGGAACATAAACATACAGCAAATTATGTAAAGGATTTAAATGGTATTGAATGGACTTTGGATCAGGCTTCAAAACTAATTGAGAAATATACTGCTGCTGAGAGCAACAAGACAAACAACAGTGAGAGACACTGAAACGGACAGAAAAAAGCAAACAGAAAAAACCCAAACCAAACCAAACCAGTAAATTGGTGGAAGAGGAATATAAAGTATTTTGTACTAAGGTGACAGCTTGCTGCTCTCCACATTTGTGCAAGAGGGATGGACTACAAACAGGAGAAAGGTATTACAACAATGAGGCTGAAAAAGTTGTAGAAAATAAGATTATAGAAACCTTTTGGGATTTTTCAGTCACTCTTATTGAAATAGAAGCCAAAAGAACAGATTTGGCAGTAGAAGAAAAGGAAAAAGAAGAATATTTTCCTGTGAACTTTTATGTGTTTAGCTAACTGAAAAAAATTTTGAAAAATAGGATTGCTGACTGCAAACGGGTTCACAAACTGCAAAACCATTTACTGGAGGTACAGTGGGATTTCCTGTCAGGGATATTAAAATTGTACTGTGTAAACTGGGAACTGATGACTCTGGGTATTTCAACAATACTCACCGGCACCTCTAAAATTCTGAGAAAACTCGCAGTATTCCACATTTGTCAATTCTTCATATAGATTACAACTGCATTGACAAGTGGTAATGCTCCCCTACTCCCTATCTCCTGCCAAGATTGACAGCTGTGGAGGGAATGAATAATGATTATGATAATAGTGATAAAGAAAGGGATTAATGAACTTGGAGGTGTGTTTTGGAAAACAGGGATGAAGAGAATCTGGAAGATGTGTTGGCATGGATAAGGACAAAACAACTCTAGATACAGGTGACTAGCTTCAAGAGGAGGGATCTCCATTGGCATTTTTGTTAAGGTATGACTTATGATGCCTAAGGAATGTCCAGTGTAAA